GTCAGCTTTCCAACGTACTTGGAATCACTCAAATCTGAGTTCGGACAAAGAATTTATGGCGGAAACAATCAAACAGGCATAACGGAGCGTCTCAGGCTGAACTGGGGCACCCGGGGTGTCTCGGCCCAGTTTGAGACACCCTGGGGTGTCTCCAACGCAGAAAAGGCCCGTTATGCGGTTTTAACCGCCCGAAACCTCCTGGAGCCTATAAATACAGCCCCGAGTCCTCACTTTTTTCAGATCTAGAATTCTCGTGCCTCGGCGAAGCCCTGCCGGATTGAAGACTTAAAGTACACAGATTTTAGGGAGGAGGAGGAGTTAGATCTGCAGCCCGATTCGTTCCTTAGGATTATCCCATTACGGTAATCTTAAGAAGAGTGATTATCTCACTTCGCCGAGATAAGAGCTACAGTTCTCTCGATCCCTTCGCGGATAGACGAAGCTCTGCCTAATTTTTCAGCAATCAGATCTGATCGACAGTGGTCCACGGATAAACACCGACACAGGCAAAGATCCCACGCAAGCAGAAGACCGATAAACGATCTCTGCGTTTGTTTGATAAAGTTGTAAACTTTTTATTTTCATTGTGTAAGGAGATCTTATAAAAAGATCAACTTTTTATTTCATTCGAGTTTATTGTAATGACTAAGGTTGTAATAGATTCGATAACAATGGAAATATCAACTTTCACCGCAAACAGGAATCCCAACCAATACAGAATGACCTGGAGTATGTGGGGAAATCCCCACCCAATGTGGAGTAGCATCAACCTCCACCCGCTGTGATATCCCTCTGACCTGCCGAGAGTCCAAAGTGACAAACCTGCTCAGACCAAACTCAGAAGCTCCCAACTTATAGTCGAATGAACTCCTGAATTCCAAATGCGCAATTAGATCCAATCTCACATCCACGATGTGACTAAGTGCTGAGTAGCCAAATATCCGACGCCGAACAAAATCTGAAGCAGCTCCACCAGATCTAACAACTCTACACGCAGCAGTCGGCAACCTCATAAGATGACCCAAACCTGTCGAAGCCTGAATACCAGATCCACTGCTCGACAACCAATATCGATACTCCTCCAGAAAAGAACGGCCCACTGAATTCGTCATCTCATCACGTCGCCCCACTGTCTCCTCTCCTCTGAAGTATCTCCAACTGCCATGAGCTCGGCACCAATGCAAGAAAGGACTCCTACTAGAACAAGTATGACTGGTAACCTTTCTGCCCATACACCTCCTCCAACTATTGCGGGCTACTAGAGCTTTATACCAACGGGACTTGGTTGCAACCCAAATATGCCTAGTACAATCCCCAACATAGGAAACAAGATAACGATTACCTCCCGATGATGCCTCCTCGGAAAGCCCCTCATTGCCTGACTGAACACCTCCAATAAGACCCCTCGATCGGTGGATAGAAGTGATGAATTCCATCTCGGTCTCCTCGCTCATCCCAGTGTGCTCACAGGACTTCAATCTGCAGGTCATAGCACTCCTCAACAATCTGTGCACGGCATAACCAATAATATATCCCAGTACCAAACAATGCCATAGTCTAGCCATAGAAGTAGTCAGCGCCCTATCAACTACCGTGCTCCCAAGTAGATAATACAAGTTACTCCGCCTGACTCCCTTCATCACAATTATGGACCCCGATGTGACCTTCAAGCGAGAATCCGCCAAAGTCACCCTATAGCCTGCTGCCTCCAATACCCCAAGTGAAATAATGTTCTTCCTCAGTTGAGGAACGAACCTCACATCAGCTAACTCCCGGATCATCCCGTCACTCATCCGAATCCGAACGGTACCAATACCACCAATAGGGCATCTGTGATCATTACACATGAGAACAACATCCCCTCTTTCCAACTCCTTAAAGATGGAGAATCAATCCCTTCTAGGGCATATGTGGTAAGTAGCACCAGAATCCAACATCCACTCGGTGGAGTCGGCAACATCAATTGACGGAAGAGCTGGGCACGAATAGCCCGAAGAATCTGAATCTGAAACATCGCCACTAGCCTTGGCAACATTTACCTCTGAAGCTTGAATAGCTTTTCCTTTATTCTTCACGGCTTGCAATTTTGGGCATTCGGCTTTCCAATGTCTATCCTCTCTACAAAAGGCACACTGATTCCTACCAACTGCAGGATGCCCCCCTTTAGACTGCGATCTTCTCCCACGGTTTGGACTTTTAGCTCTTGCAACCAATGCCCCCGCAACCGGCTCGATGGAAGTCTCCTTGTCCTTCTTTCGAAGTTGATAGTTCACAAGGGCTGCAGTGACCTCACTATACGAAAGTGATGCCTTTCCATTAATAAGAGTGAGGACGAAGGTCTCATATTCCTCGTCGGGCAAGGAACTCAATAACAACAATGCCTTGTCCTCGTCTTCAACCTTGACATCTACATTCGCCAAATCTGCAAGTAGCTTCGTGTAGTGGTTCATGTGATCACTAATGGATGTCCCCTTCTTCAATTGGAAGCGATAAAGCCTCCTCTTCAAATGCAAACGATTTTCGACACTCTTCGTCAAATATTTGCCCTCTAGGACCTCCCAAATCTTCTTTGCCGAAGTTTCATTCATCACATCATATTTAAGGTCTTGGGTAAGGCAAGACCTAATCACACCACACGCCGTTCTATTCATCTTATTCCAAACCTTTTCATCAACGTCGGCCGGTTTTCCGTCCAACTCCAATGTATCTTCCAAATTTTGCGCATTTAACGCATCCATGACTTCACATCTCCAAAGTCCAAAATTATTTGTGCCGTTGAACTTTTCCACATCTATTTTCATAGAATATATATTCAAACTTTGGACGGCCCTCACACTAGAAGAACCCTCCCCATGTTTATCCTTTCCGGCCATAATCTCAAAGCACCCAATAAACAATTACGGAACAAATAGGAAATAGATCCAACTTAAAAAAGATAGAAACTTTACCACAAAGATCCCACATTTATCACCAATCGAAGCTCTAGATGAACTTCCCAACTGATCTATGCCTCCAAAAAGCCCAAGCGTTGCCCGGAGCTCTGATACCACTTGTTGTGCCTCGAGAATCCAAACTAATCGCCGAGAAAAGATAAACCAACACACCAAATCAATAGCACAAACAATCAAACACCAGTTTTACGTGGTTCGGCAAGATGCCTACGTCCACGGGGCAAGGAGGGGGGAGTTTTCACTATTAGAAATCAAGAGGAACAAACTAGGGTTACAAATCTCTCATAAACCCTCAACAATCAACTCTCAATCTCTCCAATTGCTCCTAGAATAGAAGCCCAAAGAAAACTCTCTCAATCTGCTCAAATTCGTCCTTGCTCTTAACCCTAAAAAACACCCAAAGGGTATTTATACAAACCCAAAACGAAGCGGGTCTGAAAACAGGCAGCCCAGCCCAAAACAGCGTCGGTCGACCGGACCGGTCGACCGCGATCAATTCCGGTCGACCGGCCCGGTCGACCGACCAGCTCTCAGTAGAAAACCCAAACTCCAGAGAACCGTCGGTCGAGCGTCGGTCGACCGCGTCGGTCGACCGCTACCATCTTCGGTCGACCGGTCCGGTCGACCGCCACCAATCCTGAAGCACAGTAAATGACGTGCACGAAAGCGGTCGACCGGACCGGTCGACCGTCACACTGTCAACCTGAATCCTGAGCTAGAAATCCACTTCTGCTGCCAATTCTACAGAAAGAAATATTAATTAACACCAAAATCCATATCTGTGAACACATATTACATATACAGTAGAAGATGGTTAGATGACCAATAAACAAAGTTAGAGTGACTGGCAAACTAACTCATGAAGCTTCTATCTTCGGCAAATGAGCACACTCATGCAACACCAATATCCATGGTACCTAAACAGAAGTTACTATACAGTTAAAGAAATATTTATTACTTTTAAATAATGATTGGAAATTAAGACTGAGAAAGAGACGAGAATTAAGCTGAAAAAATTAAAGAAATACACAAACATGCATGTGTCTAGATTTCTATCTTATTTTGAAAGACTTTTACTACTGCGCGCATTAAAATACAAGATATAGTTTGTGAGGAGCAGTATAGATGATACATCAAATATTTCTATCTCAGTAATTTTTCCATCTTCATTGCGACTAAAGTGTCAATCTGGTGATAAAGTAAAGCATGACAAAAAGGGACATCACAGCTTCATTTATACTTTTAAAAAAAATAGATTTAAAAGAAATCAATAACTTCTTGAAACAATTCACCAGAAACAACACAAATGCTAGAGGTTAACCATGATACTTCCCCCAATCAAATCATATCAAGTTGGAGTCAAATTATTGCGTTTTGTAGACCAATACACGCCCTTCAATTTAATTGAATTTGTATTTCTAGAAATCAAGGGTTTAACGGACCATGAAATATGAAGGGAAAAAAGTCTTAACTTTTGTTTTGTGATGATTAAGATAAAATTAATGAGAATTAGAACAATGGTGAGCCATCTAGAATATACTATTGGTGAACCAAACAATACACTAGAGTTAGTTGTTAGAGCAGCTCCAACGGGGCTGCAAAACTCCATTTTTGCAGCCCCGAAGCCCTCCAATGGGGCTGCATCTCCGGATGCATTTTGCAACCGGAGGAAATGGGGCTGCATTTATGCAGCCTCTGCTCTCATTTTTCAGTTTGCTGCAAATGAACTGTGCATTTTTCTTAAATGCCAAGTTTGCCCTTTTTTGATTTATAAACCAATACTTATTACTTCCATATCCTTTTTAATTAGTAACTACTAATTTAAAATCAACATAAGTTTATTTCTACTAATTATTTTTAAATAAAAATTTTACAGTTGGAAATGTTTTGTCGATACCTTCAAAATGAGACTAATATTGAATAATATTAATTGAAATATAAAATTTCAAGAACCAAGTAATTAAAAATGAAAAATCATTATTTTATTATTAAAAAAAATTACATCGCTTCGTTTCCATGTCTTTCCCACAAATGTTCAATCAATGCATTTTAAAGTGCAAAATGAGCTTTTTTGTTTTTGAACCTCTTATGTCGAGCAAGGAACCGTTGGAATCGTTCAGTTTCCGTTATCTCCATATTTTTAGCATTTGGAATTGATTGTGGAGTTGAAATGACCTCGTCGCGTTCATCTTCGACAATCATATTGTGCATTATAATACAAACAGTCATATCATGCAGAGTTCGTTTATCCTTAAAACGGGCTGGTCCTTTGATGATAGCAAATCGTGATTGGAGAACACCGAATGCCCGCTCCACATCTTTTCGACATGCTTCTTGCATCATTATAAAATATTGTTTCTTTTTATCATCATAATTAGAAATGGTTTGAACAAGTGTTGGCCATTTCGGATATATGCTATCAGCTAAATAATAACTGACATCATAATTTTTTCCTTGAATTGTGTAATGAGCAGGAGGAGCAATACCTTGTGATAGATTATCAAAAAAATTAGATGACTGTAATACATTAATATCGTTATTGGATCCTGGTAAGCCAAAGTATGCATGCCATATCCATAGATCATATGATGCTACTGCCTCAAGAATAATGGTTGGACCTCCATGACGGCCTAAGTATTGTCCTGCCCATGCTGTTGGATAATTTTTCTATTGCCAATGCATGCAGTCTATACTTCCTAACATTCCTGAAAAACCTCTTTCTTCGCCCTTTTGTAATAACCTTGCAACATCGTCAACATTGGGGGTCCTCAGATATTCATCTCCATATACTTCTACAATTGCTCTGTAAAATCTCTTTAAACATACAATTGCAGTTGACTCACCGATCCTAACATATTCATCAGTACTATCTGTTGATGTTCCATACGCCAGCATGCGAAATGCCGATGTAACTTTTTGTAAAGTTGATAGCCCAAGTTTGCCGACACCATCCATCTTCTGTACGAAGAAGTTGTCATGCTCACGTACCGCCTCGACTATACGAAGGAATAAACTCCTGTGCATCCGGAACCTTCTACGGAATAGGTTTGCACCATATGTAGGGTTATCAGAAAAGTAGTCATGGTAAGTCGAGAATTACCTTCTTCCCTCCCACGATTGATCACCAAATGACCAGGAATTGAGCCAATACGCATTGTCCGCTCTGCCTCTTGAGAGAGATAAGTCATTATTTTATTATTAGAGGCATATACGCGAGCTAAGAGTTCATCTTCCTTCTCCCATTGTGTCATATCTTCCTCCCAATCTTTAATGTACTGAGAAAATATTTCATCGTCAGAAGAAGAAGAAGAAGAAGAAGAAGAAGAAGAAGAAGGTAGATGTGACGGTCCGGCTCCATAGTCATTGATGAAGAATTTATTAATAGAAATAAAAATATAAGTTGAGTTGTTTAGAGATGGATGTAAGATCATTATATAATATTCCTCCCCACATAGGATTCTTTTCAGCATTGGATTATCTTTGTGTTGGATTCTCCCCCACATTGGATTCCTTCCGTGTTGGAGACTCCTCATATTAGATACCTTTCGTGTTGGAGACTCCCCACATTGGATTCTCCTGGTGTTGGAGACTCCCCATATTGGATTCTCGGTGTTGGAGACACCTCATGTTGGATTCTCCTGGTGTTGGATACTCCCCATATAGGATTCTCCTATTATTGGAGACTCCCCATAATGGATTCCTGGTATTGGAGACTACTCATATTGGATTCTCTTGGTGTTGGAGACTCCCCACATCTGATCCCTATATAATACTTGCACAATTTTCATATCTCCACCACAACTCTTCTTATTCTATATTCATAACTCTTTACATTCCTCCATCATAATAGTATCATCCTCAACAATGTTATCTCCTTAGATTATGGCATCTAGTCGCGAAAAATCTTTTTTACAAGAAGAAGACCAAATTTTATGCGCCACGTGGCTCAAAATTTCTCAAGACCATGTCTTGAGTTCTAATCAAAAGAAGAACAAGCTGTTGGAATGAATTTCTGCTTTATTTCATGAAAGAATTTCCAATATTTGTAATGCTCAAAGGACTCTGAAGTCTCTCTTATGCTGAATGCAATTAATTATGAAGACCATCAGTAAATTTCGAGGATTCATTCAACAAGACGAGCGCCTAAATCCAAGCGGTGCTTCCGAGCTTGACATTGTAAGTATTTTGAATAACATAAATCTTGATTATCATCTATTATCATGTTATTAATAAATGTTTCTTCCTCTCTTGTGGTAGATTAAACGTGCTAGGATAATATTTGCAGAAGATCCAGAAGAGAGAAAGGGGTTTCTATTTTATCATGTTTAGTCAATTTTAAAAGATGCAGAGAAATGGGCAAATATAAGTGTCAGATTGCCTACAACTTTCAAAACTTCAAAGTCCCGCTCATCTCAGGGATCAGATTCAAGTTCTCCTATCGTTGACTTAAATGACGATAATGAGGGATATACTCATAATGACGATGATATGATAATAAGGTGACCGACAGGAAGGAAGAAAGAGAAGATGAGGAGGCGACAGACAACTAAAAAGAACCTCGACTTTGAAACTCTCAATAAAAGCAATCAAGAAATTGTCCATATTTTAAAAAAAGTCATGACAACGAGAAAATGATAGAATGGCAATGCATCAGATTATGATGTTAAGGGCCGAAAACGATAAGAAAAAAAAATTAGATCTTCAAATGGAATGACAAGAAAGTAAAATTACGTTAATTTTAATCTTGATACTATTACTAGTCCTTCGGAGCGCGAGTATTTTCAAATTAAAAAACAAGAGATTTTAAATAGAAACACAACTAGAGGTTCTTCATCTGATATTCCTAATCCTGAATATAGTTATACAGTAAGTCAATACGGAATATCTGACTACAGAAGTGGTGGATATGGAGGAAATGACATGCCTGATTTTTAGTTTTTTTATGTACTTTATTTTTCTATGTAATATCGCTGAATGTAATATATAAAATTTCATCCTTCGGAGTAGTTATGAAGGTTGTTCTAAATTTTATGCTATATTTTCTAGTTTTTAAAATTTAAAGGCTCTTATCTGTCTTATTATCAATTTATTAAAGATAATTAATTTTATTTAAATAATGAGTATATTATATATTATAATTTTAGTATTAATTTATAATTTATTTTATATTTTAAATTAATTCATATAATTTTTTAAATATTTTATATTTTTTTATATTTTTAAATCCATTTAAAGTATTATAAAAGCAATCAATTGAAAATATAAATGGAGCTTCATATAGAGGGGGGTGGTTGGAGTGCCCCCCTCTAAAAAAGAATATTCAAGAGAATATTCTTTGGGGAGGCTGCATTTTGCAGAATATTCTTTGGGAAGGCTGCATTTTGTAGCCTCCCCATTGGAGTTGCTCTTAAAAGGAGTTCACAAACCCCACTACTATTGGTGAACCCTAAACCCTAACAGATGAGGAAAGATAAGTACTTAATTTTCTTACAGACTTCCCAAAATATCCTTGAATCTAAGAAGCATGGAGGAATGATCAAGAGGTCAAATTAGGGGATAAATTAATGAACAGTAAATTCAAATTTTGGCACGTATTTGATAAAAACAAAATGCTTTTTAAAGAAGAGAAACAAGAACACAATTTTCTTTCCTATTAATTCTTAAACATATATTTTTTCTTCTCTTCACTTTTTCTCAACAGAATACAACTCTATTAATAGACTCTTAAAACAGAATTCTAACAGCAGTACTTAATTCTGACCCTTCGTTACTGCCATGACTTATTATATAGAACTCCAAACAACTACCCCTTCAACTTCTTATTTAATGTCGCCTCAAAAAACTAACTTTGTTTGAGTTTATTCTTTAACAAATTCCTCCCTTTAACTCAAACATTTTCCATTCTTCATTCCAATCATCATCTTACAATTTTCGAATAGCATTGTTAGTAGCGGCTTTGTAAAGATATTCGCCACTTGGTCCCGACTCGCAACGTAACTCATTCGCGCATTACCTTCCTTCACATGTTCCTGAATAAAATGAAAACGGACATCTATATGCTTACTCCTCTCATGGTGCACCGTTTCTTTGCTAACTCAATTGTCGATTTATTGTCAACTCGTTTTTTGGTTGCCTTGTGTTGCTGGAGTTTTAGCTCATATAGAAAATTTCTTAGCCATGTTGCATGGCACACACACCAAGATGCTGCCACATATTTTGCCTCACATATATGTTGACAATGTCACTATTGGTTGCTTCTTCAAAAGTCGTGTCTCCCATATAAAACATATATCCCTATGTGCTTTTCTGATCATCTATATCTATGTACCAATCACTATCAGAGTAACCCACCAGTTTGTATTCATTTGTCTCTGAGTAAAGTAACCCGAGTGACTCCGTTCCTCGGATATATCGAAGAATCCTCTTAATAGCTTTCAAATGCGAGTATTTCGGCTCCTCCATGAACCGACTCACTATACTGACACTATATGCAATGCCCGGCCTTGTGCACATGAGATACCGTAGACTCCTAACCAAACTTCAAGATTTGTTTGCATCCACTCGATTTCCTCCCTCAAACTTAGAGAGTTTTGTACCGAGTTCCATTGGTGTTGCTACTGGATTGCACTCTTCCATCTTGTTCTTCTTAGAAATGTCTTTTGCATACGCCTATTGTGACACAAATATTCTAGATTTTCCTTGTCTAACCTCAATACCTAGGAGTATTTCATCAACTCTAAATCAATCATTTGAAACTCCCGAGTCATAGCCTCTTTAAAATCTTTTATCATCTCCTCATTATTCCCCATGAATATAAGATCATCAACATAAAGAGCAACAAACAATAAGTTATCTTTTTCTTTCTTCACGTACAATGCATGCTCGTAGGGACATTGTATGAACCTGTTCTCCTTGAAATAGGTGTTGATTTGGGTGTTCCATGCTCGAGGCGCTTGCTTCAGCCCATATAGCGCCTTTCTTAACTTCAACACTTTACTCTCTTTCCCGGCTTTCATGTACCCATGTGGTTGATCCACATATACTTCCTCTTCAAGCACACCATTTAAAAATGTTGAATTTACATCCATTTGATAGATCGGCCACTTGAATTGTGCCGCTTGGGATATAATAAGATGGATTGTTTCCATTCTCGAAGCTGGGGCAAAGACTTCGTCATAGTCAATCCCCGCCTTTTGTCTATAGCCCTTCGCAACTAGCCATGTCTTATACCTTTCTATCTCACCTTGGGCATTCATCTTTTTCTTATATACCCATTTTACTCCTATAGGCCGATATCCTTCCGGCAACTCCACCAAGCCCTAAGTTTTATTTCTTTCGATAGCCCTTATCTCTTCATCCATCGCGGCTTGCCATTTCTTATCTCTCGTTGCCTCTTCAAAAGTAATATTCTTGGCATATGTCAAAAGACATACCAAGTGTACTTCGCTTATTGATTCGTATAAGTCTTGCAAACTTCGCATCCTTGGTTGTCTCGGCTCTTCTTCATCATCAAATTTTTAGGGGTTGTTAGTGTGATTATTGGTGCAGCGGTTGATGGTTCTTTTTCTTCCTTTTGCATCACCTCCTTTTGGTAGTTCCAATCCCATGTGCTTTTTTCATTCACTTGCACATCTCGACTCACAACCACCTTCTTTTCAATTGGATCGAATAACTTGTAAGCTTTTGTCTTCTCGTCATAACTGATGAAAACGTACCTCTTGTTCTTATCATCAAGTTTGGTTCTTCTTTGATCTGGTACGTATGCGCAGGCCACACTACCGAATACTTTTAAGTGTGATATAGTCGGTTTTTGTCCGCTCCAAGTTTCCTATGGTGTTTGATCCACAAATTTTACATGTGGGCATTGGTTTTGCACATATACGACACATTGTACGGCTTCTGTCCAAAATTCTTTCGGCATATCTTTGCTCTTCAACATCGACCGAACCATATCAAGAATAGTTTGGTTTTTCCTCTCAGCCACACTGTTTTGCTGAAGCGAGTAGGACGCGGTTAAGAATCTCTTGATCTCTTGTTCCTCGCAACAGCTCGTAAAGGCAATTGACATGTACTCTCTGCCTCTATCTGACCATAAGCCCTTGATATAAAGACTGGTGATCTTCTCTACTAACACCTTGAATTTTTTACACCTTGAGTGCCTCAGATTTTTCTTTCAAAAAATAAACCCAAGTCTTTCTTGTGTAATTGTCAATGAAAGTGATAAAGTATCTCTTCTCACTGAATGACTTAGGTGTGATTGGACAACATAAGTCGGTGTGTACTAACTCGAGAGACCTCCTTACATGATATTCAGCCTTCCTTTGAAAAGTATTCTTCACTTGTTTGCCGAGTACACATCCCTTACAAAATTTATTGGTGTAATCCATGTCTGGTAGCCCGTGTACCATATCCTTCTTTGCTAACTCTTTTAGGCCGTCGTAATGTAAGTGTCCGAACCATAAGTACCACAGCAAGGCTTTATCCTCTATGTTGACTTGCAAACACCTTTCTTACACGTTTCTCAAGTTGAGTTTGAACATTCGATTCTTGGCCATCTCCACATGTGCAAGCAATCGACATTTTTTGTCCTTCACGTGCAACATCCGGTCTTTCATGAAAACTGAATATCCCTTCTCTAATAGTTTCCCCATGCTAAGGATGTTACTCTTCAAGTCGGACACATAAGACATTCTCAATCGACCCTTCTTTACCATCTTTTTGAAGAAAACAAATTTTACCTCGGCCCTTGACTCAAACCTTCGACGTGTCTCCAAATGACATGTGCCCATCCTCTATCTTTTGCATCTCCACAAAGAGGTGTTTGTGTCCGCACATGTGAGTACTAGCGCCAGTATCGAGATACCATACCGTGTTGCTGTTGGGAGTAGTGTCTTTGTAGGCCATCATGAGAACACCGTTGTCTCTTGTCTTCTCTTCCGCGACTAGATTCGTGTTTTCTTCCACTTTTTTCTCGGAATAGCACTCTTTTGCGTAGTACTCATAATTGTCGTAGTTGTAGCACTCGACATTTGAATAGCACTCTTTTGCATAATGCCCATACTTGCCGCCCTTGTGCCACTCGACATTTGAATGATTTGACCAGCCGCCTCTCCCATGACCACGTCCTTGACCATACCAATTCTGTTGGCTCGGCTGGACCTTTTCTTTAGAATTGTTTCCATGTCCAGGGCCTCCACCATGACCAAAACCGCGACCTCCACGGCCACGTCTCCTTCCTCGGTTTTGCTGCGTGTACATCGCCTTGTCCTCCTTGATAGTTGCCTTAGCTTGTAAGGCCTCCTCGACGGTCATCTCTTCCAAATTCCTCAACTCCTTAATTGTGCATACAACATTCTCAAAATTCTCGGTTAATAACTGCAAAATCTTCTCCATAACCCTTGCATTGGTTAGGGTTTCTCTGTTACGTTTGAGTTGATTCATCATTGTTCGCACATGCGTGATGTAGTCAGATATTCCTTCTAACTCCTTCATTTTCATGGCCTCCAACTCCCCTCGAAGAGTTTGAAGGCACACTTGTTTAACTTAGTCAACACCCTTGAAGACCTTTTGCAAAATGTCCCACTCTTCCTTTGAAGTTATCGCACCAACAATTTTCTCGAAACCTGACACAGCCACCACTTGGAGCGATAAATAGAGAGAGGTCTTGTCTTTCATACGTGTTTCTTTCAAAGCCTTTATCTGATTCGTCGTCTGATTACCTATTGTTGTCGGCTCTTCATAGCCGACTTCGACTACTTCCCATGCGTCTTACGCACCAAGCAACATACACATCTGAATACTCTAATTATCATAGTTTGACTTGGTGAGTCGTGGCAGCGGTATCTGCCCTAGTGACATACTCCCTGAATTCACCATAGCTCTGATACCAATTTGATAAAATTAGATTGCTTTTTAAGGAAGAGAAAGAAGAACACAATTTTCTTTCCTATTAATTCTTAGACATATATTTTTTTTCTTCTCTTTACTTTTTCTCAACAGAATATAACTCTATTAATAGACTCTTAAAACAGAATTCTAAATAGCAGCACTTAATTCTGACCCTTCGTTACTGCCATGACTTATTATAGAAAACTCCAAATGACTTCCCCTTCAACTTCTCATTTAATGTCGCCTCAAAAAACTAACTTTGTTTGAGTTTATTCTTTAACAGTATTTTCCCCAAACTATCCTCGAATCCCAATTCACAATAGTGTATAGAACCTGCAAAAAGAATAAGCACAATAGAGGATATAAATGGAAGAAATAAATCAAGTCCATCTAGCTTTTAGACAACTAGTAAATATTGAGGTGTGTACTCAATACTCATTCAAGAATTTTCATTAGCCATCAGCTAAAATTCCCTTTACTTTCTTATGTTGTATTTAAGATTATTACTGTTGTAGTGAAGGGGCTTCACAAACACAAAAGATGTTTATACAAGTGTGGAGAATACCAACACTGACTAAACACAGTGAACACAAAGAACAACATACAAGGATTTAACGTGGTTCGGTCAGTATGACCTACGTCCACGGATCATAACAACAGAGAACTTCACTAATCATAAAAAGAAGATTACAAAAGAGAGGATCACTCTCTATCCAGATACTCACACAAAGAAAGGGACTCTTTCTATCTCACTCTCTTCTCTCTATTTTCTCTCTACTCAATTGCCGATGATTCTAAACCCTCAAACCACACCCCCTATATATAGCTTACAAATATTAATAAAATAATATATAAGTGTTGTTAGAATAGTTGAATTAGGTAAAAGTTAGGTTCTCTTTTGAAAATCTTCAAAGGCACATTTTTTAACAAATCTCTACCTTGCCTTTGAAAATAAAGATCTTCTCTTCACACTTATTGTCTTGCCACAAACCCCTTACGGGCTTAACCTCCACTTTGTCGAACTCCAAGCAATTCGAGGTAATGTTCGAACTTGCGTGAAGGTGTGGGCTTCGTCATCATATCTGTTGTATTACCTGCAGTACCAATCTTCTTAATCTTGATGACTTTAATTTCTCTGATAAAAATGATATCTAACATCTATATGTTTGGTTCTTCCATGATACATCTGATGCTTCATCAAATGTATAGCACTCTGGCTGTCACAAAATACCATAGTAACACCTTGGTGTAAGCCGAGATCTTTAACCAAACCTCTCAACCAAATAGTTTCTTTCACTGCTTTTGTCGCTGTCATATACTCTGCCTCTGTGGTAGATAAAGCAAATGTCGACTGTAAAGTCGCCTTCCAACTAATGTCACTACCTAAAAGAGTGAATATATAACCCATCAGGGATCGTCTCTTATCCAAATCACTCGCATAATCTGAATCAGAATAGCCAAGTATTCTGCAATTTGAGTTTGTGTTCCTTCCAAAATACAAACCAATATTAGCAGATCCTCTCAAATATCTAAATATCCATTTTACAGCCTGCTAATAGACCTTTCCAAGCTTATCCATATACCGACTCACAACACTAACTGCATGTGAAATATCTGGATGGGTGTAAACTATAGCATGCATAATGCTTCCAACTATACTCGCATAAGGAACACAATACATGTACTGCTCCTCCTTTTCAGTCTGAGGTGAGAAATCTACTGAAAGATGAAAATGAGTTGCAAGCGGAGTCTTCACAGGCTTGGCATCAAGCATGTCAAATCTCTTAATATCTTCTTGATGTATTTCTCCTGAGATAGGAATAAACTTCCTTCTTGCCTGTTCATGTGGATCTTCATCCCTAAAATCTTCTTTGCTACTCCCAAGTCCTTCATCTCAAACTCATGTTTGAGTTGAGATTTTAACTCGTTGATTTCTGACATATCTTTAGCTGCAATCAATATGTCATCAACATACAAAAGTAAATATATAAAAGAACCATCATTGAGCTTTCTATGATAAACACAACTATCATATTTACTCCTAGAGTAACCATGCTCAAACATGAAAGTATCAAATCCCAAATATCACCATCTCGTAGACTGTTTAAACCCATAAAGAGATTTTTTTTTCAACCTGCACACATGGTCTTCTTTACCTTTAACAATGAACCCCTCTGGCTGATGTATAAAGATTTGCTCTTCAAGCTCGCCATGTAAAAAAGCTGTATTCACATCAAGTTGCTCAGGCTCCAAATTAAAATGAGCAACTATGGTAAGCAACACGTGGATTGAGGTGTGTTTTACAACTAGAGAGAATACTTTATTGAAGTCCATACATTCGGTCTGACTGTAGCCATTAGCTACCAAGTGTGCATTGTACCTTATAGAATCTGTATCCGAAGCTCCTTCTTTCTTCTTGAAGACCCATTTATAGCCAATGATCTTCTGTCCCCTTGGTGGATTCACTAGCTCTCATGTCTGGTTCTTGTGAAGAGACTTCATCTTTTCAGTCATCGTAACAGTCTAATTTGCAGCCTCATTACCACTAATAGCCTCCTTATAGGTAGAAGGCTCTGGAACCTCAATTGATTCTGCTATACTCAAAGCGTAAGCAAGCATGTCTGTATAGTGTTGAGGAGGTCGGATCTACCTTTTTGTTCTCTCGGTGGCAATATTATACTGTTGTTCTTATGGTGTATCAGTATCTGAAGTTGAACCTTCCGTAATATCAACTGGTTCAACATGAGCGCCCTCAAGCACTCTCTGTGAAGATGAGCTCTCTAGCTCCACATGCTTGGTAGACTCTTTTTCAGTACCTGTAATGTCAATAACAAACTCCTTTCTTGGGTGAAGCATAAATTTTTCATCAAAAGTAACATCCCTACTAATAATAAACTTAGGTAACTTGAGATCAGAACACCACAATCTATATCTCTTCACTCCAGTAGCATATCCTAGAAAGATAGCTTTCTTTTTTCTAGGTTCAAGCTTACCATCATTAACATAAAAATAAGCAGAGCAACCAAATACTCTTAAATGAGAGTAATTAGCAGGGGCACCAGACCATACCTCTTCTGGAGCCTTAAAATCAATTGATGTAGAAGGAGATATGTTTATCAAATAGCAAGCTGTATTGATTGCCTTAGCCTAAACGTCTTTTGACAAACCAGCATTAGAGAGCATGCACCGAGCTCTCTCCAAAAGTGTTCTATTCATCCTTTCTGCAAAACCATTTTGTTGTGGTATATGCCAAAATGTATGATGACGCACAGTACCTTCATTTTTGAAGAACTGGTCAAACTCTGTGGAACAAAACTTCATCCCATTATCGGTTCTGAGATGATTCACTTTCTTTCATGTTTGCTTCTTAATCATAACCTTCTATTACTTGAAGGTTGTAAATACATTACTCTTATGCTTCAAAGGATACACCCAAACTTTTCTGGAATAATCATTAATTAATGTTAGCAGAAAACGAGCTCCACCTTTCGATGGAACCTGAGAGAGATCCTAAATATCTAAATGAATGTAATCTAAAGTACCCTTGGTTCTATGGACACCTGTACTAAAGTATACTCTATGGTGTTTGCCAAAAACACAATGCTCACAAAAGTCCAGCTTACTAATTTTCTGACCACAAAGCAGACATTGTTTGCTCAATACATTCGGTCCTCTCTCACTCATATGCCCTAACCGCATATGCCACAAACGTGTAGTATCAGAATCTGAATCATCTAAGGATGACACTGTTGCAGTACATGTCATTGTACTGTCATTAAGGATATAGAGGGTATTTACCTTCTTTCCTTTCATCACAACAAGAGAGTTTTTACTTACTCTCAAAACTCAACCTTCAGCCGAAAACTTAAAACCATTTGAGTCAATGGTGCCTAAAGAAATGAGGTTCTTCTTTAACTCTAGAATATGACGGACATTGCTCAATGTTCTAACAATACCATCATGGGTTCTAATCTTAATTGATCTGATACCAACAGTCTTGCAAGGCATGTTATTTCCCAACAAGACATTCCCACGTTCTAATCTTAATTGATCTGATACCAACAGTCTTGCAAGGCATGTTATTTCCCAACAAGACATTCCCATCATCGATAGACTGATATGTGACAAACCAATTCCTATGCGGACACATATAGTAGGAACAGCCCGAATCAAGAGCCCACTCATCTTGTGAATGAGTATTAACACTGACTGAAAGAATTTCCTGTAAACTAGAAGACTCTTCAGTTATAGTGGCAACTGAAAGTTTTACATCTCCTGACTTTGACTGTGAATTATCTTTTTCTTTAAGCGCTAGACAATTAGGTTTTATGTGCCCATATTTATGGCAGTAATAATATTCAACATTTTTCCTTGGCCTGGACTTTGATCTAGACATATTTCTAGATTTGTCTCTATCACCAACACCCTTTTCAGGATGACCTCGAGCGAACAAGCATTTAGTTTGATCCTCTCCTCTTACGACAGACACTTTCTGCCTTAACTCTTTTGAATGTAAGGCTAATTTAGCATTTTCCAAAGAAAGTATATCTCTACCGTATAACATGCTATTGACAAAATTTTCATAGGAAGGAGGTAATGAACATAACAAGATCAGGGCTTGATCTTCTTCGTCGATTTTAACATCAATATTCTTTAAATCCATAAGAATAGTGCTAAGTTCATCTAAGTGGTCTTTAATTCGCATACCTTCCTTCATACAAAGGGTGAAGAGGCGTTGCTTCAAGTAGAGCTTGTTCGTTAGAGATTTTGTCATGTACAAGCTCTCCAACTTGAGCCACAACCCGGCGGCGGTATCTTCTTTTGCAACCTCCCGCAGGACCTCATCGGCTAAACAGAGTTGTATGGTACTATGCGCTTTCATCTCCAGCTCTTCTTTCTCATCATCGGGCATAGATTCGGAAACTTATTCTTTCCGAACAAGACCTTGAACAGTTCTTGTTGTACTAGGAGAGCCCTTATTTTTACTCTCCACAAACTGAAGCTGTTTCTCTCATCAAATTTCGCCACTTTGTATTTCGCAGAAGATATTTTGAAGCCCACTAGAACAGTAACTGCAATTATGAACAGTAATTGAGCAGTAATTGTACATATGGATAGTACCGTATTTTTGAATAGTATCATACACGTAAATAGTACTTAGCACCTTTAAAGAGTGAATGATAATCTAACTTATTTTATGATGTGGAGGATCCACTTTTAGAGGCAGCCACAGAGCATACGATAAGCAGATACACGTACTTTAAGTCAGGCTCTGATACCAGTTTGTTGCAGCGGAGGGGCTTCACAGACACAAAAGATGTCTATACGAGTATGGAGAATAACAACACTGAATAAACACAATGAACACAAAGAACAACACATAAGGATTTAACGTGGTTCGGTCAGTATGACCTACGTTCACAGACAAGAACAACATAGAACTTCACTAATCACAAAGAGAAGATTACAAAAGAGGAGATCACTTTCTATCCAGATACTCACACAAAGAAAGGGACTCTTTCTATCTCACTCTCTTCTCTCTATTTTCTCTCTACTCAACTGAGTTCTGATGATCCTAAACCCTCAAACCACACCCCTATATATAGCTGACAAATATTAATAAAATAATATACAAGGGTTGTTGGAATAGTGGAATTAGGTAAAAGTTAGGTTTTCTTTTGAAAATCTTCAAAGGCACGTTTTTAACAATTACCTTTTAATTATCCTCTCTTTGGACACTTACATACACATTATCATTATTTGTATGAAGTTTGAGAAAATGTGAAAGTTGCTTTGCATGTTGGAGTAATACCTGGAATATGTGTGTTCTTAATCTTCAATATATTATTACATTAGAAAGTTATAGGTATGAGGTTGCAGCTCATTTTGCCACCAAATTCAGTACATGGAGAGATGATCTTGTCTTTTCTTTATTATCCAATATGATGTAAATAAATACAGTCGTGGTAGAGCTGAAACAAAAAGAATATGAACATAAATTTGATTGAGTGTGTGTGCGCGCGCGTGCGCACTTTCATATTTGAATTTTTTGCGGTTGGATGTCTGTTACTCGATGATTGCGCGTAAGATCGACAGAGCACCAAGAGGATATAATAATTAATTTCCGCGTGATTCTTGTTCAAGAAAAATAAAAATGAAAAAATACAAAAACTTATCTGTCACAGGTTAAAAAAATCTAAAATGTGAGAAAAGTCATTGAAATTGATTTGTTATAAATAATGCAGATGAAGCAACCAATGGAGGCAGCAAGCAATCCCCCCAATCCAAGTTTTCCTCCGGAGCTAAGTTCATCCATTAACGGCGACGGCAATGGAGTTGCTTGGTACTTTCAATGAGCTAACAGAGAGAATGGGAGAGATTTCAACTGCATCATCTTCTCAACTTCTGTTCAAGGCTTTGAAGCTTTCTTTTCCTCCTCTTCAGTCTCTGCCTGTTGACGCCGATGGCCGGACTCCGCTTGCAAAGGCCTGCACCATTGCTTATCTTCTTGCTGATTTGCAGGTAATTCTACTTAAACTTATAGCTAGCTCTTTGCTGGGAAAAATATAAAGGATAAATTTCACAAAACGACCTTGAACTTTAAGGAGTTTACCATGAATTTCCCTGGAACTTTATTTATTCTACTAAACCCTGCGAACTTTGGTATATCTCACATACCTTTCAACTTCTATCAACGGACCCCTCTACATGTAAATGGTAAATAATTAAAATGTCATTGAGATAGAAGTCAATTTATAGTCACTTTCTACTTATATAGGCTACAGCCCCCTCCTCTGATGGAGGGTTCTTTCTCTCAAGAATACTCTAGCGGTTTGTTAATAGTTAGTCTGTTAGGAAAACTTGAAAGTTTAAAGAGGTTATGTGATGAGACACCCGTAAAATTCAGGGGGCTTAATGGAATAAACAAAGTTCAGGAAGGTTTGGTAGGAAGCACCCCAAGTTCAGGGGCGTTTTGTGAAATTCATCCAAATATATAAAGATAAACTACTGAAATTTGGAGACTTAATTTAGTAACTTGATTTTTGCATAAGCATTGTAGAGTTAAAAGAGAGGTTTGAAGATTTTGAGACTCAATTCTAACAGTTTGTTTGCCCAACATATGTAATGGAAGAGAGTTGGGGTATCAAGGACCACATGACACTAATTGAGTTCTTTCCCCAGCCAAATGACAACATTGACTGCCAAGACAACTTATGAATACAGTTGTTAGCTAGCTTGCTTTCTTTTATTGTGAATTTTTTTTTTTTCCTTATAGCTTCCTTTTCTTACAAATCCGTCTGTGTAAACTATAACATGTGTAAGCCTACATCTATTAATCCCTTCAAAATCAATTAAGGGACTGTTTAATTGTTTTCCTAGAAATCAAATTCTAGAAAAAGAAATCTAAATATAGGTTTGTAATCCATTTCCTATAAATTTGTCCGGAAGCTAGGTTCCAAAAAATTGGGGCATTCATTGAGACGCCCATTTTCCGAAGTACACCTTTCCATGTTTAAGTAGAAAGTGGTTTCCATAAATAGTTTTCATATTTTTTCCATCCAACCAAAGAGAAGAAAAGTATGTTTCTCCACCTTTTGACATGGAATTGTAGGCATCCGCGAGGGCCAGCTCCTTAGTTTTCTCATTGAAAAACCAAATGTATCTTGGAATCAAGAATTCAAAAATCTCCTAATCTTTTTTTTTAATTAAGAAAGGAAATCACCTTGTCTTTCAGGTGAACACACCTTACCCTATTAACAAGAGAAATACCACGCATGGCATATCTCAAACCTTCCAAAGCTTAATGTAATCAACAAGCGATTGCGGTAGATGAAAGCAAGATATGTAGTGAAATGGGATATTCAATTATTAATAATGAAAAGATTGGCTAGTATGAGCACATCGAGAGCCTTGTTAGAAATACAATGCCCTTCAAGTAAGTGGTATCCAAAGAGCTAACTATAGTTTTCCTAAACATAGGTTCTTCCATATATGAGCTCTTTCATATATTAGCCAAATCATACATGTCAAGTACTGATGTTCGGATTTTGGACAGTCATTTTGTCAAATACCAGTGTCCATGCTACGCCGTAGTACAACATTTATACATTCTTTGCGGCTTTTAGGGACTTTTTTTGGTATGCTACAATTGCAAATGCTGCAAATGTTTTTTTTTCTTCTTTTGATAAAAATGATGGGAGATCCCCCTGCATTTCATTAAAAAGAGTTTAATAAAGTGTATAAATATAAAATATTGCACTCTCCTCACAAAATACGAAAATCATACAAATTAAAGTTTATATAGACAAAGTAGCGGCAGTGCAGCTCAATAGAAGAGTGCAAAGGACATGTGAGCCTGTAGTGTTGGGGATTCGAAACAATCAAATCGAACCATTACCCTTCCGGAGCTTGTTAGAAAGTTGAGCAAGACAGAAATTCACCATAAATCAAAGATAAAAACTTACAGGAATAGTAAAAAAGACGAACACACAGATTTAACGAGGTTCGACAACATGCCTACGTTCTCGGGAGCCACACCACACAATCTCTTTGATTAATTGAAGAAGAAATACAAGCACTCAAACTAGGGTTTAATCTCTCTGAGATTCTCTCTCTTTTCTTCTCTTCTAATAGTTTTTTCTCGTCCTTAATTAGCCCTAGAAACATATAGGTATATATATGAATCCCATCCCAAATAGAATTCAAAATAGATTATAAAATTGCCAGCTCGACTCGCGGTCGACCGCCGAACCAGTCGCCCCCCCCCCCGCCACGATCGATCGAAGAAAGTCTAGAGACTTTTTTTGTTTTTATGCATGTTCGCGGTCGACCGTCGAGAGCACCGCGATCGACCGTACTGTAGTTTCTTGTTTCCTTTGTTTTGCATCATCTTGTTGATTTCAGCTTCGACTTCAGCTTTGGGTCTACACTTAGACTAACAATCTCTTACTTGGAGACTAAAGCGCTATCAGCGAGCTCTCCCGAACTATCTCCTTCTTCGCAAGTATCTTTTCCTCCTCGAAAAATCATTTCTTCAATCATCAACATCCCGGCGATCTTGTCGATCCTCCTAGTGCGGCTTCGTCTTCATCTTCTACTCGTGAAGGCCAACTGCAGTTACGTACAAGTCCAATTTCTCAATGGTTACTGCTTTCGTCAACATGTCAGCCAAATTTTGACTCCCCAAAATCTTCATTAAGTGTAACTTTCCGTCTTCAATCAGCGAGCGTATGAAATAGTATCGTACATTGATGTGTTTCATTCTGACATGATAAACTAGATTCTTGGCAAGATGTATAGTTCTCTGGCTATCATAATAAAGAACTCATCTCCCTTGCTTCAGATCTAACTCTTCTAAGCACTCATTCAACCAAATCATCTCCTTGCTTGCTTCAATCACCACGATATATTCAGCCTCGATTGTAGATAAAGCCACAATCTTCTGTAGACATGAGACCCGGTTCACTGCTGTCGACGCTAAGGTATAAATATACCCCGTGGTGCTTCGCCTAGTATCATGATCACCGGCGAAGTTCGTATCCACGTATCCCTACAGAACTAACTCCTTCCTCCTAAAATATAGTGGCTTGTTCGTTGTCCCTCTCAAGTACCGCAATATCCTTCACGGTCTCCCAATGCTGCTTCCCTAGATTGCTTATAAACCTGCTCATAACTCCCACTGCATGGGCAATATCCGGCCTCGCATACATGAGACTTCCAATGGCCGAAGAATATGACACTCTACTCATATGCTCTCTCTCTCTGCATTTGTCTTAGGAGATTGCTCAATAGATAACTTGAACTGGCTTCCAAGTGGTTTGCTAACAACCTTAGCATTATGCTTATTAAACCTCTGAAGTACCTTCTCGATATATTCAGTTTTGCTCAACCTCAACGTTCCTTCAGCTTCATCCCTACTGATTCGTATCCCTAGAATCTGTTTTGCTGCACTCAGATCCTTCATTACAAACTCCTTTTCTAGCTGCTTCTACAAACTGTTTATCTCCTCAAAACACCATCCTGCTACTAACATATCATCAACATATAATAATAATATAATAAAGTCGGAATCGAACCTCTTAAAATAGCAGTAATGATCCGAATTGCATCTTCTGTAGCCATTGTTTTGCATGAAGTTATTAAACTTCTTGTACCACTGTCTCGGAGCCTGTTTTAAACTATATAAGCTCTTCTGAACATGATCCTTCTTTGCGTGATATTTGGTACAATCCTTCTTTACGTGTCCAGACTTGTTGCAAAAGAAACAACATTGATCATCCTTATGTTGTTTCTTCTGAATAAGATCCTTAGCAGCTTCATTTTCATTCTTTCTTTTCTTGCCCTTATCCTTAGAGACATAGGCCAGATGAGTACTCTCGGATTTATCTTGCTTCAGCATGTCTTCTTCTTGCACACAATATAAAATGAGCTCATTAAGAGTTCATTTCTCCTTTTGGCAGTTATAACTAATCTTAAACTGATTAAATTGTGTAGGAAGAGATAACAAAACTAGATACACCAGTAACTCATCACAGAGATCGAGTTTGAGTACCTTAAGTTTTGAAGCAATATGAGACATTTCCATAATGTACTCCCTGATATTTCCTTTACCCTTATACTTAATCGAAATCAAGCGAGCTAAAAACGTACTTGTTTCTACCTTATTGTTTTTTGCAAAACGTTTCTCAATTTCAGTAAGAAAATCTTTAGTCTTAGTAATCCATTCAGATTCTATGCCCCTGGAGACTTCCGAAATGCCACGCTTAATTGTCATGAGACTCATATGATTTGAACGCTCCCATTTCTCATACTCCTTTGCATTAGGAGTGCTATCCGCATTGAGAGGTTGGGGTTGTTCAGTTCTTAATGCAAAGTCTAGATCCATACAGCGAAGAACAATTAATATGTTCTTTTTCCAAACCTTAAAATTAGTCCTATTGAGCATGGGAATTGAGTTGATGTTAGCAGAAATTATTACAGCAGATGCATTAGCTGAAATAAACAAAAGATACTCACATTATTAATGATAATTAGTAATCAATAAAAGTCAAATAATGACAAATCTCATCTCAAGATATCTGGCACAATATTAATATCAAGTCTTTGGATAGTAATATTAATTTGTAAGTGATACTTTATTGCAATGATTAAATATTGACAATAACTCATGTCAAATAATGAAACTATCTTTAGATCGATTCATTATTCACATGTAAACCTTATGTAAGGGTACAGTCGATTGTACTGGTTCTGTAACTTTGTCCAATGTTTTGCATGCTCCTTCATTTCCAGACAATCTCTTGTCCATTAGTTCTATCATCCTCCAACTAAAATGCATTGTTTCTTTTGATATTCCCAAGGTGATTTTTCTATCATCACAGATGTGTATGCAGTCTAAATAAATATTAACCTTCCTTTGGGCCGATTAAATATTTACATGAAAACATACACACAAACATCTAACATTCCTCATGAACAATCTACACAAGAGAGGTTATTTTAACAACTTCTTAATTCAATTAATCATTTAGAATGAGAGACAACTTTGTTACCTTAGTGTCATATTATTTGAATTAAATAATTGATTAACTACTAAATTTAATTCAAATTAAATAATTTAATTCAAATTAACTGAATTTCCAAAAATTAATTAAAGGCCTCATAGCTTAATTAATTAAATTAAGCACACTAAAAATTGGGCCCATAACTTAATAAGGCCCACCAAAAAATATGTTTTAATTGGTATATCCAATTAAACCATTCTTAAAGAATTTTAGACCCATAACTGAATGGCTTTAAGAGGGCTTGGACTTGTGCAAACCCAATAAAGAAAGGAATTGGTTTTAGTGGGTTTGAGGTCATGTGCCCTAACAAAACCGAGGAAACCCCAAATGAAGTCCACCTTCAGTTTCTTTTAACCGATGAAACACAATAGACGTAGCCCTCTCCTTTCACCCCGACGGTAAAGAAGAGAACGGCAGATAACGAACGTGAGGTTCGTTTGAATTGAGCACGAGGCTTGCCTGAGATCGAACGCGGGGTTCGGCTTGAGAACGAACGCGAGATTCGTTTGGATCGAGCACGAGGCTTTCCTGAGAATGAACGCAGGGTTCGACTTGAGAACGAACGTGGGGTTCGTTTGGATAGAGCACGAGGCTCGTCTGAGAATGAACGCAGAGTTCGACTTGAGAACGAACACGGGGTTCGACTTGAGAACGAACGCGAGGTTCATTTGGATCGAGCACGAGGCTCGCCTGAAAACGAACGTGGGGTTCAACTTGAGAACGAACGCAGGGTTCGTTTGGATTGAACCGAAGTTTGTTGAAGCTTTCTAGCCCTGAAGCTCGCCTAAATTGAGGTACTCCTCCTTAATTTCCGCATATTTTCACGCATGATCTTTTCTCACCCCCATAGGGTTTCGAAAGTTAACCGTCGCCGCCGCCGTTTAAGCTCCCACACCCTAAGGTTTCGAAACCCTAGGGCTTCCTGATGCCGCCACCGCTGTCTTCTTTTGACAGCGGGGCCATCGGCGAACATTGTTGGCGAGGAGTTAAGTGAATAATGACTTACTCCATAAATTGATCTCTTGCTTTCGATTTTAAATATAATTTAGATCCAAACAATCGAAAGAAAAAATCAAGCCAAAAGATGAACTTTGCTTAATCCATCCGAACAGCAAATCAAAAAAACGACAGAGTCGTTTATAAAAAAGAAAACTCAAGTTTTGGAAGCAACAGTTCGTGTTTTCACAAGATCCAACGTGCAACAGATCTTAATAAAGCCAAATTAAGATCAAAAACCCCAAATTCTTAACCTTAAACATAAATCACAAGGAACTAAACATGGTCTGCTCTGATACCACTTGTTAGATCTTATATCTGAGATCTAATCCATAAAATCATAATTAATTCAAAGAGAATAAACACAACAATGAGCGGAAGCATTACCTGAATCCATATTAATTTTAGCACGGATCTTAATAGGTTTGATCTTCTAATCTGAAAGGTTTCTCTTGAATATCTCTTTAGATGGGGATTAGAGAATAGAGAACGTAACATTTAGATTAGAGACCATAAGCCCTTTATATAGATTTGTAATTTTCTAATTTAGCCCCTCATAAAATTAGAATTGCAGTCCGGTATCTGCGACTCAATACGGAGCAGTGGTGAAGATATTGAGGTCGGATAATGGGACAGAGTATACCAACAGAGCGTTTAAAGAATATTTATCAGCTCAGGGAATACATCACCAGACGACCTGTCCATATACACCAGCTCAGAATGGGGTAGCGGAAAGGAAGAACAGACAACTTTTAGAGGTTGCTAGAAGTATGATGATCTCTATGAATGTTCCAGAAACATTATGGGGGCAAGCAGTGTTGACCGCAGCAGCGCTGATCAACAGAACGCCCTCGAGAGTGCTGGATTGGAAGTCTCCGTGTGAGACATTAAAGGGAGATAATGGTGGGATTCTTCCACTTAAACTGTTTGGCTGTGTGTGCTTTGTGAAGGACAACAGGCCATCTGTCGGAAAACTTGCCCCTAGAGCTGTGAAGTGCATCTTTGTAGGATATTCTGCTACTCAGAAGGGATATGTTTGCTGGAGCCCGGTGGAAAAAAGGTTGTTTGTGAGCATGGATGTGCACTTCCGAGAACTCGAGCCATATTACACTCGGAAGGTAACTTCATCTGTTGGTAACTCGCCTAATACTGGAAGTATGAGGCGAGTGGAGGAGAATGGTGAGAGAATAGAGAAATCAATATCTGTAACGATTCCTTGGGAAGGAGACTTGGTTGAGGAGGAGCAAGAGAATGAAGAAGAAGAGGAGAATGAGACAAGAGGGGTTAGACCAACGGCTCAGGGGGAACTACTTACCTATAGTAGGAAGGGGAAACAAATTGCGGGAACAGTACCTACAGTGCCACTGGTGCCAAGTCCCTTAACAGATCTTAATAAAGCCAAATTAAGATCAAAAACCCCAAATTCTTAACCTTAAACATAAATCACAAGGAACTAAACATGGTCTGCTCTGATACCACTTGTTAGATCTTATATCTGAGATCTAATCCATAAAATCATAATTAATTCAAAGAGAATAAACACAACAATGAGCGGAAGCATTACCTGAATCCATATTAATTTTAGCACGGATCTTAATAGGTTTGATCTTCTAATCTGAAAGGTTTCTCTTGAATATCTCTTTAGATGGGGATTAGAGAATAGAGAACGTAACATTTAGATTAGAGACCATAAGCCCTTTATATAGATTTGTAATTTTCTAATTTAGCCCCTCATAAAATTAGAATTGCAGTCCGGTATCTGCACAATTAGCCCATGATTTACTTAAATACCTATTAACCCAAATTACCTGGTTGATCACTTTATACGGGTCATCCTTAAGGATAGGGATACACACTGATATAACATATGTGCCCACAAATAGATTTAATTAGATTTAAATCCAACATCTTGTTGCTAACCAAACAATCGAAATAGAAATCTGTCGGTAACATTTGCTCCTGTGTCTCTATTTCAGTCAACCAAGCAGCCTCTTAATTGTTCTAAGTTTGTAACCGCAGATGGATGCAGAGGTTGTGTCCGCAGCCATACTGAGAGAAGCCCTGTTGGCAGGCGCTATAACGATGGACGAAATCGAAACCCAAACTGGATCTAGCACCCTTCACCTGCTGCAGGAGAGCTTGAAGATGAAGGACCTGCACTCAGGGGATGAGACGTTAGACGATGAAAGAGCCAACGAACTAGGAAAGCACTTCCTCACTTCCTATGACATCAGAGCTCTAATTGTGGAGCTTGCTGCCAGACTTGATTCAATGCGACACATAGACAACCTCCCTAAATACCACCAACAGAAGTTGTCCCTCGAGGCTTTGAAGATATGCGCACCTCTTGCCCATGCTGTCGGAGCTGCAGGCTGGTCACTCGAGCTCGAGGACCTCTCATTTCGCATCTTGTTTCCCTCTTCTTACGTCTATTTGGACACGTGGCTTACAAGTCGTGAAACTGAGAGTAAGCCCCTGATTGAAATATTCAAGAGTCAGCTGCTTCAAGCATTGAAATCCGACAGCGAGTTGCAGGAGATTGTAAATGACGTCACTAATCATAGGTCGATACAAGAGCCGTTTCAGCACCATGAAGAAGCTGTTGAGCTATGGCATCAAGCCTGAAGAGCTCCATGATAATTTAGGTTTGAGGGTTATCATAGATCGAAAATGTGGAGATGAGGCGAGCGACGAAAGGGGGGTGAGAGCTTGTTATGGGGCTCATGAAGTGATGCAGAGTCTGTGGAAAGAGATTCCTGCAAGGACAAAAGATTATATTGCAAAGCCTAAAGGAAATGGATACCAAAGCTTGCATCTTGTAATCGATCTTAGCGAACGAGGACCATTGGTGATACCATTGATGGAAGTGCAGATAAGGACGGCTGCGATGGATATGGTGGCTGAAGGTGGAGTTGCCTCCCATTCAATGTATAAGGGTGGTTTAACTGATCCCGAAGAGGTAACCAACTCAATCTCTTTTGGTTAATAGGAGACTGACCTCCTCTATTATCGCCAAGTTGAACTTTACTGTCCCTGTAGTTCTATTGTTGCATATAGACCGCCCTAAAAAAGTTCTATTGTTGCATATAGACCCCCGAGTGGAAACCTATAGTTGCAGCTAGACCTCCTTAAAAGAGTCAAAAAGTTTCACTTGGGAGGTCTATCTGCACCAATAGAACGAATGGAGTAAGTTCAATTTGACGATAGTACTAGGGGTCTACCCACAACTAAACCTAAACTCAATCTCTTTTATTCAAAGGTTAATTGCGCATATACCTCATATAGCATCACTGTTTTGAACTTGCTATCCCTGTAGTTTCATTGCTACACATAGACCCTTGGGTTAAATGTTTTTGATTTTTTTTACCCCCAGATAGGCTCGCTGATTTCAACCTGGGACAATATCTGCCAAATTTTCACCCAGGATAAAAGAGAAAACTTTTACCCAGGGGGTCTATTGGCAACAATGAAACTACAGGGGTGATAAATTTAAAACAGTGATTTTACAGGAGGACTATGTGCAATTAACCTTCTAATTTTAAGGCACAGCGGCTTTTGTGCTGAGATTTGGAAACTGGTCCTCACAATTTCAACATGCAGGCAAAAAGGCTAAAGGACATTATGCTGGCTGCAGCTGATGCCACAGCCCTCCACCTGAGAGATTTGCCTTCTGGAAATCAGAAGGGAAAACTCGACAATGACCCCAAAAACCAAGTGTTCCGCTTCCTTGATGAAAATGGTGATGGTAGAATCAGTATCGAAGAACTCACGGCAGTTATGGGAGAGCTTGGAGCAGGGAGCAAAGATGATCAGGAGCTTATGCAACTTCTCGATGAAAACATTAATGATGGTTTCTTGAGTACTGATGAGTTTGATTTTCTGCAGAAACAGGTGCACTTATATATCTCAAATTCCATCCATGCTCTAGTAAATGAAGTAGTTTTTAACCACTGTTGTTCTTTTTGCATCTTAGGTTGGATTTATGAGGACTATGGAGGACACAGATGATCAATACAGAAGCATGTTTCAAATGACTGATGGCATAGGCTTGATCCAAGTTTATCGCAGGGAGTTGAGTGACAAGCTTACTGTGAGTTAATGTTGACATATTATTATTAGTTAGGACTTATTTGTAATTTGTGTAAGGGGCCTATATAAAGCCCAAGAAGGACCAGGCAGCAGATTGTCTGACTAAAGGACTTAGCTCAGTAGATATGATTAGAGGATGTGACAAGTTGGGCTTAGTAGATATCTTTCGCCCATCTTGAGGAGGAGTGTTGTCATATTATTATTAGTTAGGACTTATTTGTAATTTGTGTAAGGGGCCTATATAAAGCCCAAGAGATCTCATAATGAATTAGGGTTTTTATTTCAACAGTTAATATCTGCTGTAAAATTTGTAACAAGTGAACCTCTTGGTTTATAAAAATCATGACTTCATTGCAATTGTAATAAATTTTTTTTTCTGCAGTTTCATCTGTAGTTGATCGGTATATGACTTTTAATACTTTGTATTATTAAGTAACGGCCCTTCTTTCCCTCGTGCAATCCTTTTGTTGGCTTACTCTCTAAAGTCATGATGTGTCATTAAGCTGAGATGATCTTCGATCAGTATAATTGAATGATAGTTGCAAATACACATTGATCCATATTAGGAAGAATAAATAAATAAATAAAAGAGGCATTCATCTTTTGAAAAAAAAAACTGACTTAACAGAATTTCAAGGTAACCTGATCAATATGGAAGGAATCCCATAGTTACTTGTATCATAAACCTTCCAACTTTATATCTTTTGGAGTAACAATTTCTTCTATGCGGTACATATTGTTCTTTGATGGAATTTGCAATGAAGTATAAAAACATGTTGAAGCTCATAGGTTTTAAAGAAAATGTGGATAAAACTTTGGGTTTACAAGCCAAAACCCCATACAAACACACTGTTTAGACTTTGATGCAAAAGATTGATTGAGACTTCCAAGTTATCAAAAAAATTATTGAATCATTCACCGGTGATGGAGATGTTGATTTTTTTGGTAGGAAGCTGAGGATGATGCAAAGTTGACAGTCTATTATAACAAAAATTTAATAAGAAGCTCATCTAGGCTTCTCTTATGGTCACTTTCTAATACACTCAGCTCCACTCTAGCATGATCCTTTCGCATGTCAAGCTTAGGTTAAGTAGCAAACTGTGATTTTCACAGCATTTATTTATGTGATCAACTCTAGGCTCTGACATGAACACGCAACTTATTTAATCAGAGGTAGCATCTTTCTTTTGCATCAGTATCATAATATGAGAATCGCGGATTTAAAATCTATTTTGTTTGAATAATGTTAAGAAAATATCCATGTCCTGTGTAGAAACAAAATATGTTTTCTGTTGTAAAATATGTTTAAAGAAATTGTGGCATCCCACTGTTGTGCGCCTATGCGGAAGCGTGCTCGCACACCAAGTGAATATGTGATCATGGTAGAAGAGAACCAACCACACACGAACACAATTCAATCCAAAGACGACAAATCAAACCAAACACAGAGATATACGTAGTTCGTCAATTTGCCTACGTCCACAGGGAGAGAATGGGGAGATTGCTCTAAATCAATGAGAGTATAAAGGGCTAATTACAATCTCACAAAATCACTCACACAAACCCTAAACCAAATCTCTCAACTTGCTCACAAGTTCTCTCTCTCAATATGCTCAGTACAATCTAAAATCTCTGATTGAACTCTCCTCACATAACCCTAGAAACGAGTGTTTCAATATATATCAAAACACAAACTCAATGCGAACATGAAACCAAATTCAAGCCCAGCCCGACTCGCGATCGACCGCAGAGCCACGTGCGGTCGACCGGATCCAACGACAGAAACTCGATATTACTATAGGATTTGGCCGGTCGACCGCCGCGCCACTGGCGGTCAACCGCAAATAGTCCAGAGACTTTTCCAACTTGCGTGCACGTTTGCGGTCTACCGCCGCGCCACTTACGATCGACCGCTGGAAATCCAAACATGTTTTCTGCCATTTTTCCTGTATTCTCTTCAATTATCCACCTCGGTGAAGTTTTCCAAAACTGAACCGACACCAAACGAAGAGCACCAATGCGTCGTCTCTCCAAAATCGGCTACACCAATATGATTGCCTACGTACCCCCTCTCCCAAGAGATCAAGCTACCCGTAGTTTATCCAAATGGTCGTCAACGGTCTCAACAATCATAAATGTGTAATAAGTTTCGACAATGATCAAACTTGTTGCTCGGAACCACCTTAGTGAGCATATCCACCGTATTATCCTCCGTATGGACCTTCACAATCTCCACATCGCCATCTTCAAGAACATCCTGAACGAAGTGATAACGAACGTTAATGTGCTTCGTCCTCACATGAAAAACCTGATTCTTCGCCAAATAAATAGCACTTATGCTATCACAATTAATAGTGACAGACCGCTGCGATATACTAAGTTCCTCCAAAAACCTTCGAAGCCAAATAGGCTCCTTCACAGCCTCCGTAATCGCATATACTCTGTCTTCGTCAAAGACAAAACCAATGTAGACTGTAAGGTGTATCTCCAACACATCGGCGCACGGGTCAAAGTGAACACATACCCCGTCGTAGATCGGCGTTTATCTAAATCTCCGGCATAATCCGAATCAACATAGCCAATGTACAACTACCCACCTCTAGTGTCCTACTCATAAACCAAACCAATATTGAGTGTACCTCGAATGTACCTCAAAATCTATCTTACGGCGTCCCAGTGACTCATTCATGGATCGTGCATGTATCTCGAAACTAATCTCATCGCCTGTGATAAATCCGGCCTCGTACATATCATCACGTACATCAAGCTCCCAACCGCACTCGCATATGGAGTCTTCGACATCAACTCTCAATCTTTAACTGTCTTCGGTAAGAGGTCAGCTAAAAACTTCAAATAGACTCCCAAAGGTACACTAACTGGCTTCGTATCCATGCTAACATGAAATCGCTATAGAACCTTCTTCAAATAAGCCACATATGTCAAATAAATTTTATCATTCTCTTTGTCTCTACCGATCTTCATCCCTAAAATACGCTTAGCCTCACCCAAATCTTTCATCTCAAACTCTTTTGAAAGTTGTGCCTTCAACTCATCTATAGAAGATCTGGAAGTAGAGGCAACCAACATGTCATCTACATAAAATAACAAATAGATGTACGCACCTTCTTTTAACTTACAAAAATACACGTAAGTATCAAAATGGCTCCGAGTGTATGAATAACTAATCATAAAACCATCAAATCGCATATACCACTGTTGAGGAGATTGCTTCAAACCGTATAACGATTTCTTTAACCTGTAAACCAGGTTTTCCTTCCTTGCAGCTCGAAATCTCAATGGCTGAGTCATTTATATTTCTTCATCAAGATCACCATGAAGAAATATTGTCTTCACAGCCAACTGGTCTAACTCCAATCCATAATATGCCACCAAAGCTTGTAAAATCCGAATCGAATAATGTTTTACTACCGAAGAGAAACCTCATTATAATCAATACATTCCTCCTGTACATAGCCCTTCACAACCAACCTAGCCTTGAACCTCAATGGAGTACCCTCAATACCCTCTTTCTTCATGTACACCCACTTGCAACCAATTACATTTTGCCCCTTTGGAAGCTCAACAAGCTCCCATGTATCGTTCTTGTGAAGAGACTTCATCTCCTCCTGCATAGCCACCTGCCACGAATCAACTTTCGAACTCTGCTCGGCCTCTCTGAATGTAGTAGGCACCAACTCATAGATACTCTCCACCTGAAGTGCATATGTAACTACTGTGTCAGTATACCGTGTTGACATCCGTATGTTTCTCCTTTGTCTCTGAACCACAATAGAATCCTGAACATGAGCCGTCGGTTCCTGATCCTGCACAACTATACCCGTATCCTCCTCGTCATCACTGTGCTCGTCTGGCGTTACCTCAATCGGCACTCTAATGAATACTGTAATATCTGGACAATGTGGAGCTGCATCGATCTCCACCACCTGCGATATCTCCTCCGTCGGGTCGCTCTCCACCTGATTAGAACTAGGAAGCTTCAAGATAGAAGCCTCATCGAATGTGACGTCCCTACTCAGCACAATCTTTCTATTAACTGGATCCCAAAGCTTGTATCCCTTGACACCACGCTTGAATCCTACAAATATGGCCTTCCTAGCTCGAGGTTCCAACTTATTAGTTTTCACACATGATAGTATGCAGGGCACCCAAATACCTTGAGCTGGTCATATTCATGTGTTGGTTCTTCCGACCATATCTCCATAGAGGTCTTCCCCTCAATCGCATATGAAGGCAACCTGTTAAGGAGGTGACTCGCATATAAAAGTACCTCAGCCTAAAAGATCTTTTCCAAACCACTATGCACCAACAAACATTGAATCTTCTCCAGCAAAGACCGAATTAACCTCTCTGCCACCTTATTTTGTTGTGATGTATGACTAACTGTGAAGTGCCTCTCTATGCCCTCGTCTCGACATAGCTGTTAAAAGAGGTCTGATGTGTACTCACCATCGTTATTGGATCGCAACATCTTGATCTTTCTCCCAGTCTGCAGTTTCAACCTCTTCTTCTACTCCACAAATATATCTAGGATTTCACTCTTCTTCATCATGGTGTACACCTAACAACGTCTAGAATAGTCATCAACAAACGTGATGAACTAATGTCTACCACCAAATGATACAGTATTGATGGGACCCTAAACATCTGTGTGCACATAATCCAGGATGCTTCTCGTCTTATGAATGGTTGTCCCAAACTTTACCTTCGTCTTCTTGCTAAGAACACAGTGCTCACAGAACTCAACTTTTCTATTCTTGGCTCCCTTCAATAGTCGTTGCTTGCATAACGCTACAATGACTTTTCTCATGTGTGCCCTAATCTGTAATGCTAAAGTCTGCTAATATCCGTCTCTGAAATAGTTGAAGCAACCTGGCCAATCACAGTTCTCCCCTTCAGATAATATAAGTTCTGACTACAAACTCCCTTCATCACCATCAAAGATCTCTTAGTAACATTTGCTATAGCATCCTCAAATGTCACCTTAAATCCCTTCGCCTCATATGCTCCAACTGAGATAAGATTCTTCTTCAACTGGG